CCCCACGTCACCGTCACCGTCACGCGCCGGGACTCCCCCTAGCAACGGCCGCCGCCGCGCGCCCCCCGCGCCGTTCCCACCTGGCCCCGTGAACCCGCGGCCGCCGGCCCCGCCCCTCCGCTCCTATTGGACAGGCACCGCCCACAGCTCTGACGCCATTGGGTGGTGAGAATGCTCGTCAGGGCGAAGCGCCGGACGGGGCTCGGCGCTGTCTTAAAGGGGCCGTGGGGACTGGGGAGGGAACGGGGAGGGTGTCCGCCGCTGGGCTATGGCGCGGGGGCCCGTGTGTGCCCGGGGTGCGGTACGGGGGGGTCCCTCGGCACCGGGGGGGGGTCCCGGCCCCTCTCCCTCCGCCAGCCACCACTACTTCCGGCTCGGCACCGTGACGCAAGGGCGAGATGACGCCGCGGGGTCGCGTTCGACGTGACCTCGCACCCGGAAGCGAGGCGCGGCTGCCGGTGTCTAACCTCCCCCCCCCGGTACCGTTCCCGTTCACCGTCATGTGAAGCGGCGGGACGGGTTCCTCCAGGTACGCGGGTGCTGCCGGCGGGAGGCCCCGGAGTCACCGGGAGTAGGCCCAGGCCCGCGTTCCCCCCGAGGGAGCCCGGTACCGGGAGGGACGGCTACCGGAGCCGGGGGGCGGCGGGCGGGCTAGGGGATCCCCGTTATCGGCGTCGGGTACGTGTGGGGCTGCCCCGGGAGCGAGCACGGCGGCGGGGAGCGGGAGGGTAGCTCCAGTACCGGCGGCATGGCAAGGCGGAGGGGACTCCGTTACCGGGGACGGGGAGGGGGGTAACTCCGTTACCGGTCCTGGGGGCGCGGGAAGCTCTCGACCCCCCGGCTGAGCCATCCTCCCGCGGTCCCGCAGGCGGCGATGGAGCCCACAGCCTCGCAGGTGTTCTGCGGACGGGTGCTGGGCATGGTCAACGCCGAGGACGTCAACGCCATCATCCTGGCCCAGAAAAACATGTGAGTCCCCGGGGGGGAACCGGCCCGCGGGGACCCCGGTACCGGGAACCTGCCGGGATCTTTGCCGAGCTCTGTCCGCTTCCCCCGCGTAGGTTGGATCGATTTGAGAAGACTAATGAGATGCTGCTCAACTTCAACAACCTCTCCAGCGTCCGCATGCAGCAGATGAACGAGCGTTTCCTCCACCACACCAAAACGCTGGTGGAAATGAAGAAGGATCTGGACAGCATCTTCCGGAGGATCCGGTGGGCAACGGGAATGGGAACGGGGATGGGAATGTCACTGCCGGCGGGGAGGGAGAGAGTGTGGAGAACGCAGGGTGGTTCATCGAGTTCTAGGTGGGCTGTGGGGGTGTTAAAGTGGGACACGAGTGGGAGCTCAGGGCGGTCTTGAACATAAAAATAGTTGGAGAGGGGAAAGCGTGCGGCCGAGTGATCCGTGGAGGCAGCAGGACAGGAACCGCTGAGACCGGAGCTTTAGGATTCCTCAGTTCTGCTCCAGCTGGGATGGGACGCGGCACTGCCACCACTCGAGACAGTTACAAAACTGCTGCACTCAGAGAAACGCCCCAGGGGGTGACGGGGAGGGAGCCCCTCGGATTCCTTTACGTTGTCCGTAAAGGCTGGAGAGCGGAGGGAGCTGGCTGGGCAGTTCAGCTCTGGATCTATCAGCTTCTCCGGGGACTTAGTTTGCTCTCTCCTCTCCTAGGACGCTGAAAGGGAAGCTGGCGAAGCAGTACCCGGAGGCTTTCAGCAGTGAGTGGTTCCTGCCAATGCACAGATTTTCCGTCGGGTTTTCTTCCCATGCGAAAAGTCCCTTTTCCTAAGAAAGCCCAAGGTAGCTCTCGGGAGTCGGGACAAGGCAACAACATATCCCGGCGTGCAGCAGTGCATGGCTGCTGCGCTAAAAGCCTGGAAAGCTTCTTGATTATATTAAATGCGGTCGCAAGAAAATGGCCGCTAATTTACCTGGTATCGTTTTTTTTATTGATTACTGCTACAAGCAGATGAAATCTAGAATTAGTAATTAGCAAATTGTTCTGCCGGGGCATCTCTCACAGCCGGTGCTGCGCCGGCAGTGCTTCGTCTCGTGCGGCCGCGGTGGCAAAACTAATATTTGCGTCTTCCCTTCCAGACATCCACGAATCTCCCATCCTAGAAGACGACGACGACTTTGACCCCATCCCAAAAAGCACGACAACCACCATTGCTACCTCTGAGCAGAGCACAGAGTCCTGCGACACCAGCCCTGACATCATCTCTCCCACAATGAGTCAGGATTTTGAGGATTTATCCCAAGGCCAGTACGATTTACCAGCCGTCAACGGACAGAGTCTCACAGACGAGGACATGGCCAACGACCTGGACTAGCCGCACGGGTCCTGCGCCACTGCCGCCCGCCCCCAGAGAACTTTCTATCCTGTATTTATATTGGTGTGTTTCTTTTTTCGGGAAGAGGGAAGCGATGGCTGAGTGAAGAAGGCTGCCCTTCTGCCTCTAAACTGCCACCGCTGTGTAAAACCCTGCAACTCGCCTCGGGGTAAATAAGTAAAACGTGGGTTTGAAACGCCTCTCGTCCTTCCTCATTTGTGTTGTCTGGAGAGCGGAAAAGCCCCTCACCTCCTTTGATGCGGGTTTTGGGGCAGAAGAGCCGGTTTGGGACACGGGTGTGTTTGTTTTTTGTTTTTTTCTTGCAGGATGTTGTCTTTGAGCCGGCGCTCCGGCTTTCCTACAGCTCTCTCCGTGCTGCTAATGCACTCCCCACCGCCTTTCCCGCCTGAGGGAAAAACCTCAGCCGGCTTTCCCTTGGGGTTCTCCCCTAGCCCCGTTTCACCCCTCAGCCCGGGGCTGCCTGTCAGCCGGTTCCCTCCCTGGCTCCTCACGTTGCCCCGGGGGGGGGGAGCGACCTGGGCTTTTCCCGGCCTACTCCTGCCTGCCAGGGGGCCGGTCCCGGGGCCGTGGGGCCTGTCCCGACGCCGTGGGGTCGGTCCCGGGGCCTGGGCCCGTACCAGGCCCTACCGACACCCGGCCTGTGGTAACGGGAGGCGGTGGAAAGCTCTGGCGCATGCGCAGTGCGAGGTGCGCAAGGGGGGGAAGGGGCGGTGGCGATGACGCACCGGTTGTGACGTAGTGACGGGCGGGTTCCGGTTCCGCTTGTGTCTCCTTTTTTTTTTTCTTTTTTCCCTTCAGCAACGAGGCGGCGGGTGCGCGCGGTGCCGGGCCTGGATCCCGGGAAGAGGGGGGGCTGGATCCCGGGGAGGGGGCTGGAAAAGGGGTTTGGGAGTGGGAATGGGGGACCGGGAGCGGGAATGGCGGCGGCGGGGCCCTGTTTGAGGGGGTTTGGGGGTGGGGGGAAGGGCCACCGGGGCCTTCCCTCAGGGCCCGACCGGGGTTAACGAGGCCGCCGCTCTCCGTAGACGTGAACGGTGCCAAGATGCAGATTTTTGTCAAGACGCTGACGGGTAAAACCATCACCCTGGAGGTGGAGCCCAACGACACGATCGAGAACGTCAAGGCCAAGATCCAGGATAAGGAAGGTACCGGCGGGAACGGGGAGGGGGCGGGTGGGGGGGGGGAGGGTAGCAAGGCAGCCCCCGCCCCGCCGTTCTCTCCATCCTGATGGTTTCTCTCTCGCAGGGATCCCCCCTGACCAGCAGCGGCTGATCTTCGCGGGCAAGCAGCTGGAGGATGGCCGTACTCTCGCTGACTACAACATCCAGAAAGGTACGGATGCTGGGCTTGCGGGGTTGGATTTGTGGGGTTTTTTTGGGGGGGGGGTGTAGTGGGCTTGGTTTGGGGGGTTTTTGGGGGCGGGAAGAGAGGGTCCTGGCTGCTCCTTAGCAGTCCCTAGCCCCGCCATGATGTTTGTTTCTCCTTTCAGAGTCTACCCTGCACCTGGTGCTGCGCCTGCGGGGGGGCATCATCGAGCCCTCCCTCCGCCAGCTCGCCCAGAAGTACAACTGCGACAAAATGATCTGCCGCAAGTACGTCCCAGTCCCCCCCCGCCGTCCCCGACTACCCCCCCGGTGGTGTGGGGACCCTCCTCCCGGTCCCCTTTCCCGGGGAAACGGGGCTTTTGGTGACGTGTGCTGTCCCCCCCCCAGGTGCTACGCCCGCCTGCACCCCCGTGCTGTCAACTGCCGCAAGAAGAAGTGCGGACACACCAACAACCTCCGCCCCAAGAAGAAGGTCAAGTAGAGCAGGAGATGGCAGCCCTGCCTGCACCCCTGCCTGTACCCCTGCCTGCACCCTTCAATAAAGCATCACAGCGTTCACGCCGGTCCCATTTTGTTGCTTTTTTTTTCCCCAAAGGGGTGTGTTTTTTCAATAAAAGGAAGGGGGGGGGTGACCGAAGTGGTGGCGATGCCGGGCGGTTCCTGCAGGTGGCGGCGGAACCGCGCTCCGCCACCGCGCTCCGCCTCCGCGCCCC